TCCCATCCCTGCCCTCACCACCTCATTGCCCCTCTCCCCCAAATAGTTAACCACATCCATTAATTTCTGGTTTCTTCTTTCTGTGATTCTTTTTATTAATATAAAATTAAACAAATATGAATATTCACATAAGTGTATTCTCATTTAATCTTTTACACCAAAGATAGCATGCGTATATGCATTATTCTTATGTAAACAAAAAATTTAAGTAGTCAAATCTTTTTTTTATTTGATTTCTTTTGGATTTTGAGTAATAATAGTTAAAGTCCTTTTCCATTTCTAGGTTATAAAGAAGTTATTCCATGAGTTCTTCTAATATTTTTTATTCTGATATACACTGTGGAGTATGTATCCAATTTTATCCCTTTTCATATGGTTATCCAATTGTCCCAACGCTATTTATTAAAAGTCCTTCTGCAGTAGATTGAGATGCCATCTTAAGCATATGCCAACACTTATGTGTACTTGGCTCTATTTCTGGGCTTGTTCTGAACTTACTATGCTGCTTCCTTGATTTCTTTGTCTATTCATGCATCAATACCACATTGTTTTAATGTCTGGTAAGGCTAGCTCTCCCTCCCACCTTGTGCTATTCTTGATTGTTATTTTATCATAAAAACTTTGAAATCAACCTGCCTACCTCAGAAAATAATTTGTTGGGTTTTTAAATTAAGATCATGTTAGATTTTGCATATTAACTTGGAGAAAATTGACATCTCTATGATGTTGAGTCATCCTATCCAAAAATAAAGGATATTTCTTTCTCCATGTGTTCAAGTCTGCTTTTGTACCCTCAGGAAGGTTTTGTAATTTTCCTCAGGTAGGTTTTTGTGCATTTCTTAAGTTTATTCCTAAATGCTTTTTCTTTTCTATTGTTATTGTAATTGGGGTTCATCACATTTTCTAGTTTGTGATATTGTAGATACAAATGAAGGATATTTTTATCTGTTAATTTTGTATACTGTTCCTATACTGAATTCTCAGATTGTTGGTATGAATTTAAGACTTGATTCCCCTGGGTTTGCTATTTCCAAGTTTGCTATTATTATATCATATCATCCATAAATAGAAATAGGTTATCTTTCCTTTTCCAACTCTTATGGCTCTAATCTTTTCTCCTGAGCCCCCATTATTTTCTCCACAGCGAAGAGGGATGGAATGATAGTAAGAAGTCTCTGGGGGAGGTGAGAAGGACTGTGATCTGCTGCACAGTAGAAAAGAATAACAGAAGAAAAACTTTTTGACCAAAGTGGGTGGGACATCTTTCCCACTGAAAGGAGTGGCGGTACTAGGGTGCAGGCATTTGGTTTGTTAATCCCTGGACAGAGATCATGTGGGGAATTGTAGACTGACTGAGTTTTAGAGAACAGACCTCAACAAACAGCTAAGGCTGGGGCTGAGAAAAGCACATAACACCAAGTCTATTGCTGTGCAGGCCTGAAAGGGAAGCACAGAGTCAAACTCAATAGTAGTCCCAGCCCCGATTTCGGTGGTAAGACTGAAGTAAATTCATTCATAAACACTTTGCTGCCTGATACATTAATAAACAAATGCTTAAAAGGACCAGTAATTCAGATAAGAGGAATTAGGTCAATCTTAAGGATCCTAATAAATTATCAAATCAAAGATCTTGCTCTCAAGCAATCATATGATTCACTGTATAGTAATGGCTGTGACTTTAGCATCAACTAAGGATCTTTAATAAAATATCAGTCCCAGGTCTCATCTCTGGGTATTTAATTTGTCTGGGATTGGAGACCCCGGATAGCTGCAGTTTTTAAAGACTCCCAGGTAATTCTAATGCATAGTCGAGGATTGGAAGCCCTACAACACCCAACAGGTGCGTGGGTCTCTATTATTTGTGTCTGCTTTATTGCCAGGAGGCAGCAATTAGCCCAGGTGTACAGGATGCTTCCTTCCATTACTAGGCAGAAATATTGTTTTCTTAACTTAAACTGGGAGTGCTGCATTTGCAGAAGCCCTGGAGCCCAACACCTGCATTTTATGTCAAACTGCTGACTTTTACTCCATGCCTCCTGTGTGCCTGCCTTAGGGCTAAGCACTTTTGCATATATGGGTTTCCTGAGGCTCAACCAGGTAAAATGACTTTAGCTTTCGTTTCCGTGGGTTTTTTTTAATTTTATCTTTTTAATTGACAAATAATACTGGTCCACATTCATGGGGTACATACTGACGTTTCAATACATATAACATGTAGTGATCCAATCAGGGTCATTACCATATCCATCATCCCAAACATTTATCATTTCTTTGTGTTGGGAATATTTACTATCCTCCTAGCTATTTAAAACTATGTATTATTGTTAACTATAGTCATCCTACAGTCATATAGAACACTAGAACTTATTCCTCCTATCTAGCCATAATTTTGTATCCTTTAACAAATCTTTCTCCATCCCACCCTTCCTCTTACCCTTCCCAGCCCCTAGTATCTTCTGTCCTACTTTTTACTTGTATGAGATTAGAGATTTTTTAGCTTACACATGTGAACGAGAATATGCAGTATTTAACTTTCTGTTACTGGCTTATTTTTCTTAACATAATCTCCTCCAGTTCCGTCCATGTTGCCACAAATGACAGGATTTCATTCTTTTCTACAGTTGAATAGCATTCCATTGCGTATATATACCACATTTTCTCTATCCATTTATCCGTCGTTGGATACCTAGGTCGATTCCATATCTTGGCTATTGTGTGAATAGTACTGCAAAAAACATGAGAGTACAGATGTCTCTTTGATATACCAATTTCCTTTTCTTTGGATAAAGGTCAAGTAGTGGGCTTTCTAGATAATATGGTAGCTCTATTTGTAGTTTCCTGAGGAGCCTCCATCCTGTTCTCCATAGTGGCTGTACTAGTTTACATTCCCACCAATAGTGTATAAAAGTTCCCTTTTCTCTGCATCCTCACCGGCATTTATGACAAACCCACAGCTAACATCTTATTGAATGGGAAAAAGCCCACTCTTACCACTTTTATTCAACATAGTACTGGAACTCCTATCCAAACTAGGCTGGGTGCAGTGGGTGCTCACACCTGTAATCCTAGCTCTCTGGGAGGCCGAGGTGGGAGGATGGTTCAAGGTCAGGAGTTCCAAACCAGTCTGAGCAAAAGTGAGACCCTATCTCTACTAAAAATTGAAAGAAATTAATTGGCCAACTAAAAATATATAGAAAAAATTAGCCGGGCATTGTGGTACATGCCTGTAGCCCCAGCTACTCAGGAGACTGAGGCAGAATGATTGCTTAAGCCTAGCAATTTGAGGTTGCTGTGAGCTAGGCTGATGCCACGGCACTCTAGCCCAGGCAACAAAGTGAGACTCTGTCTCAACAACAACAAGAACAAACAAGGCAATTAGGCAAGAAATGGAAATAAAGGGCATCTAAATTGGAAAAAAAGAAGTCAAATTATCCCTGTTTGCAGATGTTGTGATCTTATATATGGAAGAACCTAAAGACTCTACTAAAAAACTCTTAGAACTGATAAATGAATTCAGTAAAGTTGTAGGATATGAATATACAAAAATCAGTAGCATTTCTATATATGAACAACAAACTAGCTAAAAAAGAAATCAAGGAGGCAATCCCATTTATGATAGCTATAAGAAAAAATGTAGGAATAAATTTAACCAAGGAGGTGAGAGACCTCACAAAAAAAACCTACAAAACACTGATGAAAGAAATTGATGATGATAAAAATAAATGGAAAGACATCCTGTGCTCATGGATTGGAAGAATTAACATTGTTAAAATGACAATACTACCCAAAGCAATCTGCAGATTCAATGCAGCTCCTATCAAAATGCCAATGACATTCTTCACAGAAATAGGAAAAAAACTCCTAAAATTTGTATGGAATCACAAAAGCCCCAAATTAGCGTGGTACTAACATAAAAACAGACAATGAAACAGAAAAGAGAACCTAGAAATTAATCCACGTATCTACAGCCAACTGAGTTTTGACAAAGACACCAAGAACACTCATTGGAGAAAAGACAGTCTCTTCAATAAATGGTCCTGGGAGGACTGGATAACCATAGAAGAATGAATTAAACTCTGACCTCTCATGCTCCATACAAATTAATTCAAAATGGATCAAAGAACTAAATGTAAAACCCAAAACTACTAGAAGAAAAACAGGGGAAACACTTCAGGACGTTGGTCTGGGAAAAGATTTTGTGAGTAAAATCTCAAAGGCACAGGCAACAAGAGCAAAAGTAAACAAATGGGATTATATTAAACTAAAAAGCCTTTGCACAAAGGAAACAATCAACAGAGTGAAAAGACAACCTACAGAGTAGGAGGAAATATTTGCAAATTACTCATCAGACACAGGATTAATATCCAGAATATACAAGAACTCAAACATCTAAATAGCCCTCCACAAAAGCTGATGAAGAAATGGGCAAATGATCTGAACAGAAGTTTCTCAAAAGACATATAAATGGCCAACAAACATATGAGAAAATGCCCAATATCACTAGTCTTCAGGGAAATACAAATCAAAACCACAGTGCAATATGTCACCCCAGTTAGGATGGCTATTATCAAAGAGACACAAATAAATGTCTTGTGTTTTGATCAATGCAGTAGCCGCAGAGCCTAAAATGGTGACTGGTAGGTAACAGGCTCTCAATAAAATTTTTATGAATGAGTTGCCTTACTCAATACCTAAATAATAGTGTTGAATTCCAGTTGACCCTATATCATTTTTAACTGTAACAGCAGATCACTGAGAGGTATTTCTATTTCTGACTTTTTAGTCAAGGACATCGAGATCTCTTCACACGTTTGGGCAGGCACCGTGGAATGCACATTGCTACTGAGCACTTCATTCCACCAACACTGGGCCGAAGTCATGCCCTAATAAGGAAGTGCTCAAAGTTAGCCCTGGGTCACACGAACTCCGCGGCCGGAAAACGGTGGGCGTGTCCTGCTAAACGCACGCGCATAACTTCGGCGCCCTTTCTTAGGGGAGCACGCGCAGACTCAGAGCCCTCTCCTGAAGGCCGGGCTGAGAGGCGGGGCGGCAGCTGCGCGCGTGCGCAGACGGGAGCTGAGGGCCGGCGGAGCCCCGGCCGGACTGGCGTGAGCGGTTGGAGACACGATGCAGGTGAGCGCGGGGCGCGGCGCAGGGCCTGGAGGCTCCGGCCGCTCGTTTGTCCCGCTGGACGGATACCGGGCTTCCGGGAGGCGCCAGGCACCGCAGACACCGGCGGAGGCCGCACGAGTCCAGCCCCCGCGCAGGCGCAGTGCGGGCGAGCGGGCGTGGTCCCCGCCGGACCCAGGGCAGGGTGTCGCCGCCGCACTGTGCCCTACACCTCAAATCTCTATCCTTGCAGGCTTCCTCGAGAAAGCTCGAGGTCTGCCCCCACCGGGTCCGGTGAAGAACTTGCCGGATCCCACGCGACAAAGTTATTTGCTATTTGTTAACTCCCTTAACGAGCGCCGGAGCAGGTGTGCTGTGGGCTCGTTGTGGGGACATGGAAGCTGGGGCGTGGAGGAGCTGAGGGTCCGGCCTAGGGGATCCTACAACCCACAGCAGCGGCGGAACCCATGTTCCTGGCTGCACTTAGAGCTGGGTGAGGGCTTAACACCCTCTCACCTGGTGTTCAGTTGGCGTGCGCTCCATTTCAGACCACTTGACTTCCAGAGCTCAGCCTGAGGGGTCTCTCTGCTCAGTGCTGAATTTTTTCTTAAAATGGAAAAAATCAAAATTCCCTAGTTTTATTCTTTTTTGGTAGCTGGAATTTGCTAACGGAACTTAAAGTCCAAAGAAAACGAATGAAAACACCTTGGAAATGGGTACCTCTCTGAGCAGAAATCTGTGGCAACTAAATTTTGTCACTGTCCATAGACCTGGCTCTCCCTGTTCTTGCTGTGGTCAGGAATTCTGACTAAGTAGCCTCTGCTCAGTGGCAGAGGGGAAATGGAGCTGCTGCTTGGGATTGGCTGGGGAGGGTCGCATTGGGGGCGGCAGGGGATGACCATCTACAAGGGTAGCGAGTCTGCCACAGCCAGGCACTCTTAAACGCGAAGGGGAAGCTCAGGGACTGTTCTGGCCTCTCCTTTGCATCCTCCATCCTTCAGGTCCCTGCTTTAAAATGCCACCTCTGTCAGAGGCCTTCCCTGACCACCCTGTTGAAAGGATTCTGTTCATTTTCCTTTTGATGTGTCTCAGCAAAATTGTGATACAAGAATGGGGCTGGAGCCTGGTTATCCTGGTGCCCTTTTCACAGTGCACCTTGATTTGTGTTCCAAACCAAGCCTGTGCTCCATAGTGTGTTCCTGCCACACCATGCAAACTGATGCTTGGGCAGCTGGTTTCTGGATCTAAGAGCCCAGGTTGACACTGGTCTTTCTGACATTTGATCTGGGTATATTTGGCCAACTTTTCTAAACACCATGCCTCCCCTAGGCTTGTGAGGACTATGTGAGTAGGTGCCAGTGAAGGGCTTAGAAGAGTGTCCAGAACTTAGTGTTTAATAAACATTAGCTGTTACCAGCTGCTCTGAGGGCTCTCAGCTCTTCCTTTCAGGTCTGGCTATTAGAGAATTCTGTCAGCCTAGCCTCAGGCTCTCCTCCCTCTCGATTCCACTATAGCCTCTCTAGGCTTTGAGATGCTCAAAATGTCACAATCTCTTTGTTCACCTGCCTGAAAAGCTGTTTCCTAAGTCCCCACACTGCTGTGGCTGATTGCTTCTGACCCTCAAGTGATGGTTAAATGTCACCTCCTATGGAGAACATCTCTGTCTACCCTGTGGAATGCAGGTCCCCTGTAACTCTAGACCTAACTCTAGACCAGCAGCCTGTTTGTCATTGCACTTGTATATGTATACTTGTCATTACCTGTCTATTCCTCTTGACTATAACATAGTTAACTGTTTTATTCACTGTGCTTCTCCATTGTCTAATACCTGTGGTAGGTACTTAAAAATCTGTTGAATGAATCATGCAAAGTCATTAATAAAAATATTGAACATAAGTCAGGTCAGAGCCTTGGTATCAGCACTGATGCTGATCTACACATTATATCCTGACTTTTAGCCAAGACTAGCTCCTCCTGGGGGGAGGGAGAAGGTATATACACAGGAAGAATAGAACAGGGACTGTGGGGCTTTTGGCACTTTCTCAGAAATAGACCACAGAATAATTTGGTTTGAATTCCTCACTTTCCACCACTTTGCCCATTTGACCCCTTGCCTAACACAGTGTCCTCCATACTGGACTTTGCACTCATGGCAGCCTTGGTCCTCCTGTTCTAGGACCCCAACGCAGACACTGAGTGGAATGACATCTTACGCAAAAAGGGCATCTTGCCCTCAAAGGAAAGTTTGGAAGATTTGGAAAAGGAGGCAGAAGAGGAGGAGCAGAGAGTCCTCCAGCAGTCAGTGGGTAAGCTTGCTCATTTTCTTGTTCCTTGTCTTTCTGAGTTAGGGAACAACTTTCTAAGCCTCTGACTACTGCAGTAGAAGGATCCTCTTGAGCAGGAGATAGGGACCAGAGTGCTGGCAAGTCTGGGACCTCAGGCAAATCACAAGGTGTCTCTGGCCTTCACCTTCCTGGGCCATAGAATTAGGGGGACTTCACAGGTCCCATAAGCCCTTGTCTGTGTCAGATGAACACATGGTAATCCTGAACAAAATATTTCTGAGTCTTAACTTTCTTGTCCGTGATTTACTTTAAATAATGTCATTAAAATCTGTCAAAAGTTTTTGCTGTTTGTATTCTCCTGAGCTTATATTTTACCATCTTTGTGATTGATTAAGGGTATTAAAATAGCTTAATTTGGGGAGGCATAAGATGTTTGCAATATGTGGGGTCTGTGAGGGGTTTTCTCAAAGGTAGCCATGTGCTTGGATTGGAATCCCTTGGAGTGCTTGTTTAAAAAACACCCCCAGTCTTTACTGAATCGGGATCTCTGGGGTGAGGCCAAGGAATCTGCATTTTAAACAAGTGCCATAAAGGACTTCTGGTGCATGCCAAAATGTGAGAACCACTGATCACAGGGACTAGTACTTTTGTCCCCTGTTTACATGTTAGAGCTAACTTAGAGAAGGCTATATTAGAAAGTATTTATCCAGCAAATGTTTATTGAATGATTATCACATGTCATGTGCTATTCTAGGTGTGGGGATTTAGCTATGCATGCATCAGAAAAAATTCTCTGCCTCATGGAACTTACATTCTAGTGGAGGAGTCAGACAATGAACAGCAAAAATTTGAAAGGGGTGGGGCAGCCATAGGGGTAGGAGGAGAGAGGCATCAGTCAAGAAGTGAGGGGTCAGGCCGGGCGCTGTGGCTCACGCCTGTAATCCTAGCTCTTGGGAGGCCGAGGCGGGCGGATTGCTCAAGGTCAGGAGTTCAAAACCAGCCTGAGCAAGAGCGAGACCCCGTCTCTACTATAAATAGAAAGAAATTAATTGGCCAACTGATATATATATAAAAAATTAGCCGGGCATGGTGGCGCATGCCTGTAGTCCCAGCTACCCGGGAGGCTGAGGCAGAAGGATCACTGGAGCCCAGGAGTTTGAGGTTGCTGTGAGCTAGGCTGACGCCACGGCACTCACTCTAGCCTGGGCAACAAAGTGAGACTCTGTCTCAAAAAAAAAAAAAAAAAAAAAAAAAAGAAAGAAGAAGTGAGGGGTCATTGTTGACCTTTAGGAAAGAACTTCATGGGGTGATGGGGGGAGGGGAAAAACCTGATTCGATTTTGAGAAAGTGTTTATGTCAATAAAAATACTGATTTTATAGCAATTGGTTACAAGAAAAGATAGAGCTGCCTATCACTCATAATAAAAGATCAAGAAGTATGTGATAATCACCTTTAACTCCAGGAAGGGTGTGCCTGGGGAGGACACTGGATAGTATCCTGTCTCCTTGGATGATATGAGAACTGTTCTTATACTTGAGGATTGGACCAGGTGACTTCAGGCAAATCTCTTGTTTTATAAACGTGGGAAACTTCTCATTCATACATTATTATTGTGTGGATGTGAGACAAGTCAAGTCTGCAGAAATCAACATAGGCCTATCTTTTCAAAACACCCTCAACTTCTTAGCCTAAGAAATTCCTTAAGGAATTTTTTTTTTTTTTGGTGGGCTGGGGGTCTTGTGTTGTGTACACACCTTTAGGAGAAAAGCAAAGGGAAAAAAGTAAAATGCATGTTTGTTCATCTTTTTAAATTTTTCGCTCTTTGTCAACATAACTAAATTCAGTGAAAACATATGAAGATATGACTTTGGAAGAGCTGGAGGATCATGAAGATGAATTTAATGAGGAGGATGAACGTGCTATTGAAATGTACAGGTTAGTACCACCCGGAGAGATAGTTTGTTTTGTGTGTGTGTGTGGTAATAGAATGTGTTACTTGAAAAATGAATTTTCCAGCTGAGATAACTTTTGGAAAGGACTATAATAGCAATATTGCAAATGTCAACAAACTGGTGTTACACTCTAGCCATGAGAAATAAATAAACCTGGACTGTTACAAGGATTGCTTTCTGAAAGATATATATGAGTGTGCACATGCTTGTGTGTGTATCTATGTAAGATCTTTCTCTCCTGTTGTGCAGGCAGCAAAGACTGGCTGAGTGGAAAGCAACTAAACTGAAGAATAAATTTGGAGAAGTTTTGGAGATCTCAGGAAAGGATTATGTTCAAGAAGTTACCAAAGCCGGTGAGGGCTTGTGGGTAGTCTTACACCTTTACAAACAAGGGTGAGCTGATTTTCCACGCTGTCTATAAAATGTTAATTTGAATTTATGTCTTGAACATTTCAGGTTTAATCCATGTTGGAGGGTTTTTTTTTGTTTTGGTTTGGTTTTTTTGGGGGGGGTACCAAGTTATGTGTGTTTGTTGCTGGCTTGCCCAAACCTTATTGCCTAATTTTCATCTCAAGACTTTCAAATTAATATTTGTCACTGATACAGATGTTCCTGTTAAAGTGTACCAATGAAGACTTTTCTTTTTTTTGAAAGAGAATTCCTAAGTTATTTATCTCTCTAGAGGAACTCTGGGGTTTCAGAATTCCATGTAAGCAATCCCTCTTGTAGATGGTGAGGTTGGCCTTTATGGTAATTGCCTGTGCTGAGTGATGCCAAGGTCCTCTGTGTTTCTCAAATGCCCAGTCCTGTTCTTAAACTATAGAGGCCAGTGTTTGTCTAGGAATTTCTTTAAAGCAGGAAATTGCTTTCTGACATAGTTCACACATTCATACATTCTAAATCTTTGATATTCTATCATTCAACCTTACAGAAAGGCATAGCAGTTGTCTTTTACATTGAAGCTGTTTTTCTGACTTATTTTTGTCTCAAAATAAATTGGACTTTGGATTTCGAGTTCTTCACTTCGTCTGAACATATTAGAAAAATTTTGAAAAAATTTTAATTCATCTTAGCTAGCAGCAGAATCATTCATGAAGCTGTTACGAGGCTTTACATAGGATGAAAGGGTAGTTGAGCTTTTTGAGCAATCACAATTGCTTCTGTTTTTTCTTTCTATTTTATAGGATTCCCCTTTGTGCCTTGATAAATCAGCACCTCAGTGGACTTGCCAGGAAGTTTCCTGATGTCAAATTTATCAAAGCCATTTCAACAACCTGCATACCCAATTATCCTGATAGGAATCTGCCCACGATATTTGTTTACCTTGAAGGTGATATCAAGGCTCAGTTTATTGGTCCTCTGGTGTTTGGCGGCATGAACCTGACCAGAGATGGTAAGGGGCTCTGGAGACGGGCATGTGAGAGGTGGGGAGGGAACGTTTCTGTTCTGGTGGAGAGAGTGCTTGTTTCCTAGACAAGTACTATGATGCTTTGTCAAGTTCACCTTTGCCTGTGTATGTGTGATTGTTAAAAAGGAGGAAGAACATTTAATCTCTCATTTTAGGCAAATAATAAGGAGCAGTTACAATTGGGCTCTAATAATTCCTCAGTTAAAGGAAGGCACAATGGACTTAAATATATATATATATATTTAATATTATTGTCAAATATATTTTATTTGCCTCTACAGTTAGGTGTTTTAAGTTGTAGTTCAAGATCATAGCACTCACTTTTTATTTAATTCATATGACCATATTAGTGACAGATGCTATTATATAAATTTATAGAAATATTTTTCAGTTGAATATCTTAGAAGCTTTTAAATTTAAATTTAAATTGTATTTAATTCTGCCTCTTAACTCACAAGGGTGTGTTTGTTTATTCCTTTTGATCTGTTATACATGGAAGTGTCAAAATATGTATCTACACGTAATGTGGAAGAGAACTTGAGGCCAGAGGCTTTCCCACCAACTAAAATTCTTTATCTCTTTACTGAAATAATACATTCAACTATGCTCTACTAGTCTTCAAAAGCATATTTTTAAACATGACTTTAATACTATACCACTAAGGTATTCAACTGGGACGAGTATAAACATACACACACATATGAGATACATCAATTAACCTTTTTTCAATGTTCAAGGGCATATTGCATTTCAAACTAAATATATTTCCCTCTTATTATGACTTTTTTTGAATGTACCATTAGGGGAGGGAGATAGGTGTATAATCATACTTATAGTCTTTATTTCTAGAAAAAGTCTTATTTGAGGACCAGTGAACTTATATAAAATGATGCTGTGTGTAAATGAACATTAAGTATATATACTCATATATATATGTGTGTGGATATAGAATATAAATATTTTCTTGAGTCAAGAATCAAAATTCTTGGTTTTTGGTTTTTTTTAAAGAAATTTGTTGAGTTTGCATAACATTGAACCGAAGTACCTAGAGCTGAAAATAGTGGTGTTATTTATCTCTCCCCACGCCCAGCATTATTGAGGTGATTGACAAAAATGTGTATATATAAGGTATACAACATATATAAGGTATACAGCATTATTGAGGTGATTGACAAAAATGTGTATATATAAGGTGTATATATAAGGTATATGATGATTTGATATACAATGTGAAATGATCACCACAATCAAACTAATTACCACATTCATCACCTCACAAGTTATCCTTTTTTGTGGTGAGAATACTTAAGATCTACTCTCCTAGCAAATTTCAAGTATACAATACATGATTATTAACTATAGTCACCATGCTGTACATTAGGTCTCCAGAACTTATCCATCTTATAACTAAAAGTTTATACCCTTTGACCAATGTCTTCCCATTTACCCCCAGTACCTGGTACCACCATTCTACTCTGTTTCATGGAGTACTTTAATAAAATCCGTTAAAATATGACTTCAGTAAAATCTGTTGTCACAGTTTAATAGAAGTACCCATTTAGCAGAACATCTCTGCACTGATCTGCCTTTAAGCCAAGATACTTGTTTTAGTATCTCTTGAGTTGTCCCTTAGTTCAGCCTGTGTTCTCTGCAGTGGAAAAATACATCACTTAATTTTGCTTCACAAGGTCTCATACCATGTGGAGTTTCTGTGAAATTCAGGAACTGAGTCTTTAGTCACTGATTCTTTACATTCTGGTATTTTATTTTTTATTCCTAGAACAAATGTTATCAATTCTAGGGTATCATCTACATTTATTCTTTGACCCTAGATTGGGGTACTAAACTTGAGGCTGAAGAATTTCCTTTTATTAACTAAAGTTAGATTTAATGATTAGATTGCCAGCAGACCTGTAGAAATTATTTCCTTGAAATGTTTCATGCTGATTTCTTGCCCAGGAAATTGTCCAACCTGGGAAACTGCAGTCATTGGAGTATAGGTTTATTCTTTGTATTTTATTTTAATTTCCATATAGGTTCAAGTTTCTATAATAGCTCATTTGATCTCATCCTTCTAAAAACATGTTTGAAAGTATTTTGTGTTTTCTTTCTTAAAGGTCTGATTTTTTTCCCCTTTTCTTTTAGGTACCTTAAAATTGTATTAAAATCAAATTGTCATCATTTTGATAATTGTATTTTCTGCTTAGAAAAACTGTGGCTTAGTGGACTAAGGGTGCAGGGAGCAGTGCCCATGGTACTTTAGGTGCTTTGCTTTTTCTTTGTCATACAGAGCTGGAGTGGAAACTGTCTGAGTCTGGAGCAGTCAAGACAGACCTGGAGGAGAACCCTAAGAAACCGATTGAAGACACATTGCTGTCCTCAGTGCGGTGCTCTGTCCCCCTGAGGAGGGATAGTGATTCTGAGGACGACTAAGGCTGCAGCTGCCACAGCTTGCCGAACTTTCTTGATGTGACAAATTGTCTGGATTTTTGTAAACAAGAAAAAGTAAGAATGAATCATTTGGGTTTTCAAAGCCTTTTATAATTATGTTTCAAATCTCATACATTTTAGAAATGATTATTGCTGGGAATTCTATCAAATTTCTTGGAACTCTTTTTAAATTATAACATTTCTTTAAAAAAAAATTAAAAACAGCCATTGATATGGCAAATGTCTATGTTTTTCTCACTTATATTTTAAGTAAGCCATAAAACCTAGTCACTATTTTTTGATGTACAACTATATATAAAAAGAAATATGGAGTTTTAAGTAAATGTGAATAAATTATACAGTGGAAAATGGCAAACTAAGCTTTATAGTTACATTTTTTATTTTTATTTTATAAAGATAGCAATACAATTATCAACTCAACATAGAGGAACAATCTCTAGAAAAAAAATCTTAGTATTTATCCTATTTAGAAGAAATAGACAATAATTTTTGTGAAACAAACATTGTCTTATCAAAGCAATAATGGAAAGATTCCAGTTTACTGCCATATTTGATTAAATGTTTTTTCTAGTTAATATTTGTGTTGGGGACTGTCGAGGTATCAGCTATTTTCGTTACTATAAAAGGTCACACTAAATTCTTTTTTGGAAATAAAGATATAATCACACATAAAAAGAGATTAACTATGTCATTCAGTCAATAAAAAACATCAAGTTGTTTTGTGAACCAGAATCCTGTTAGCTTCATCATTCTTGTCAAATTGACACTGATAACAGAAAAATTAGGGGAAATATTATTTCCTAATATTTGTGTTGAATGATAGAGTACTTAATACTGGTTAGAATCTTAAAAATCTGAATCAGTATGGAGTTCTTTGATTATATTGTAAAATTTAATTTTCCTCTAATTCAAAGAATGCTAAGCAGCTGTCACCCATTTTATCTGTCAGAGGTGTCTGCCTTAGTGATATTTGCTTTTCTACGTACATGAGAACCAGTGCTGCTGATAAAAACATACTCTCTCTGTAGTGGTTTACGTTGAAAGATGTTTCATGAAATTTTAATCACAGGATTGAAAGAATCTTGGTCAGTTCTATCACTAGGTGCTGGTTCTGTGGGATTCGTAGGTGAGCTGCCGCCTTTTCCTCTCTGCTTTCAACCATACTCTCTTCCATGTTCTTTGCTCCAGTAATCATCCATCTGGATTTCAGTTTCTCCCTTGAGGTGGGGTCCTCGGACAATAAAAGTGTTAGGGTCCCATGGCAGGGACTGCTGGCTGCCTACCCAGTATCCAGGATTCGCCAGTTCTACTCTGGCAGCAATGACACCAACTAACAGCTCCCTTGAGCGATGGGTGGTTGGCTGGGAGTTCAGTTCTGGGCAAGCTGCTCAAGAGGGACAGACAACTGGCATGTGCCCTTTGTGGGCATAACCCCCTTCCTTCTTTCCAACATGTAGATGTGCTTGAAGCCTACTTGGGCCAGAAGGTATCTTTGTAGGGGCAAAGCAGAAGGGTAATATTCCTGAAGACATGTGGAGCAACTATAGCCCAGCTCTTGGCTGCCCTGTCTGGACTTCCTCACTGGGGAAGAAATAACTTCCATCTTGGTCTGTTAGTAGCAGCTGATGCATTTCCTGATAAAGCCACCTGTCAAAAAAAAAAAAAAAAAAAACCTTAACCATTCTAGCTTTCTACTCCCCATTTTCAAGTTTCTTGACAAAACAGAAGAGTAGTCTATATTCCCTGCCTCTGCACTCCCATGGTGGCCTTTCAGTAGCTTCATGAACCAGAAGTTTGGACTTGGATTTCCAGTGTGTGAAGGGCTAGATATGTGTTGAACCTGCCTGATAACAACCTGAACTGTTGAATGAAACTTTTCAAAAATATTTTTAGATGTCCTACTGAGCTGGTGAGAAGGGAAAGCATTCTGAGAGGCCAAAAACAAAAGTGAAAGCAGAACTCCAGAATAAGGGGGTGTTCAACCTGGTTTCTCCTTAGGGGGACACACCAAATCTTAGTGATGCTGGGCTTCTGTTAGAATGGACTCGTGGTGACAGGAGACAACCCCAGGGAGTGCCTACAGTGGGAGTTTTAATAGGAGATCCCTCTGCAAACAGCAGGAATCCCCAAAGACTGTCTTCAGTGTTAGGGGAAACTGGCACCAGCTGGGAGAGAACTCGTTTGTCCCTGAGATGTCAGCTACAAGCCTTCCCTCATGGAGGTCTGTAGTTTGAATTCTCAGGCTACGTGAAGTCTAAAAATCTCTCAAACCAAGTTCTTAAAGAGGCCTTAAGTTGGTAGTACCCCTGAGCTCATGGCCAAAGCAACCACATATCCACACTAGAACACACTAATTTAGCCCTCAAACTAGCTCTGCAGATAAAACTCCAAGGAACGTGAGATCATAGTAAAAAATCACAAACCCACAATATCACAGGATGCCACCAATAAGGTATTCTGAACAAAAGCCAACAGAAAACAGTATAATCAGGCCTGCAATGACTTAGGATGGTAGAATTTTCAGATACAAAATATGAAATATATTTCACATGTTAGATAAAAGAGTAAAAAGAGTTCTTTATGTAAAAATAAATCCCTTATGAAAATAACCAATGGAAGAGAGAATTCATGAATTTGGAAGTAGAGCTAAATAATTACCCCATCGGTAGCACAGAGAGACAAACAGGTGGAATATAAAGGTTAGATTAAAAGGTGTGGAGGACAGACTGAGATTGTCTAACATGTCTCTTAGAATTTTAGAAGGAAATAGGCAATTGGAAATAGGCAATATTTGAAAAAATAAAGACATTTTCCAGAATTGATGAAAGACACCAATTCTCATTTTCAGAAAGTTGTATAAATCCCAAGTGAGCTAAATAATAAATAAAATAAATCTACACTTCCATTCATCTAGTGAAGCTGCAGAATATCAGGGAAATTTGTAAAGGCAGTTAGTGACAAAAGTCAGATTAGCTACAACACAACCACAGTTAGGCTTACTGACTTCCCAACAGCAGCAAGAAAAGCCAGAAGATCGTAGGATAGTGTTGTCAATGGCTTAAGGAAAAAACAATTAATTAAAAATTATATATAACCACTGAAGCTATATTTTAGGAATGAGGTTGAGAGAGACATTTCAGACAATAGGTAATTTTATCACCAATGGACTCTCATGAAAGGACATTTAAGGAATTTACTTTGTGCAGAAGGATGATGAATTGATGAAAGGTCTGAGGTTCAAAAAAGCATGGTGACAAAGAGGAGGGAAGGTGGCAGGAACAGGTTTGTTTACACCTGTAATCTCAGCACTTTGGGAGGCCAAGACTTGAAGTCAGGAGTTCAAGACCAGCCTGGGCAACATGGCAAGACCCCCATCTCTACAAAAATGGAAAAAAATTAGCCAGATATGGTGATGTGTGCCTGTAGTCCCAGCTACTTGGGAGGCTGAGGCAGTAGGATCACTTGAGCCCAGGAGTTCGAGGTTGCAGTCAGCTATGATCACACCACTGCACTCTAACCTGGGTCACAGAGCAAAACCCTGTCTCCAAAAAAAGGGTAGGGAGGAGGGAGTAAATATGAATGAACATTGACTTTGCATAACCATACGAAAATGTCTCATTTATGACATTAAGAGCAAGATACAACTGAAAAACAGGACAAAATATGCAAGTTGAAGGGGGCTTAATTGGATTTTAGCATTCTCAGATCCCTTAAAAATGTTCAAGAGTTTGGCAAAGATAAGCACGTTAAAAATATTTTATTCAGGGCCGGGCGCTGTGGCTCACGCCTGTAATCCTAGCTCTTGGGAGGCCGAGGCGGGCGGATTGCTCAAGGTCAGGAGTTCAAAACCAGCCTGAGCAAGAGCGAGACCCCGTCTCTACTATAAATAGAAAGAAATTAATTGGCCAACTGATATATATATATAAAAATAGCCGGGCATAGTGGCGCATGCCTGTAGTCCCAGCTACTCGGGAGGCTGAGGCAGAAGGATCACTGGAGCCCAGGAGTTTGAGGTTGCTGTGAGCTAGGCTGACGCCACGGCACTCACTCTAGCCTGGACAACAAAGCGAGACTCTGTCTCAAAAAAAAAAAAAAATAAAAATAAAAATAAAAAAATATTTTATTCAAGCGTGTCCATCCCCCAAATGTTGCACATCTTACTTGACATGCTTGAAACTCTTACTCGAGGGGGGAGGCGGTGCATGGGCAGTATATGTAACCTTAACACTTGTACCCCCATAATATGCTAAAATAAAAAAAATAAAATAAAAAAATTTTATTCAAGGTAACAGTAAAAGAAAAATATATATATTGTATAACTTTTAAAGTAGTGTGTATTAGAAGCTTTGGTTAATTGACAAGAAGACAAGAAGGAAGAATAAAAAGAAACAGAAGAGCAGGACATAGAAAATCCAAAATAAGATATTAGAAGTAAATCTAAGACAGTAATCACAATAATTATAAATGGATAACACTCAGTAGTCTTTGGATATGATCCAGTAATCACACTCCTAAATATTTAGGAGCTGATTTGAAACTGATTTGAAAACATGTTTGCACAAAAACCTACATGCTAATGTTTATAGCATATTCATTCATAATTGCTCAAAACTGGAAACAACCAAATGGTTCATCAATACGGGTAGATGAATGGATAAACTGGCACATCAGTACAAAGATTTGTTTTTCAGCAATAAAAAGAAATGAGCTATTAAGCCACAAAAAACATAGATGCTAAGTGAAATAATCCCATCTGAAAGAGCTGTGTACTGTATGATTTTAATTATATGATGCCATAGTTTGGATGTTTGTTCCTCTCAAAATTCAGATTGAAATTTGATCACAAGGTTGGAAGGTGGGGCCTAATGGGAGATGTTTGGGCCATGGGGTGGAGCCCTCAGGAATAGATTAATGCCCTCCCTGGGTAGGGAGTGCGTTCCTTCCTCTATTAGTTCCCATGAGAGCTGGTTGTTACGAGCCTGGCACCTACCCCATCTCTTTCTCAAGCCTCCTCTCTTGCCATGTCACTCTGAATACTGACTCCTTCTTCTGCCAGGAGCAGAAACAGCCTGAGGCCCTCAACAGAAGTAAATGGTGCTCAGGAGGGAGGGCTGGGGCTGTGGAGAGTGACTGGGGTCTCCACTGCCAGGAGTGGGCAGGCATTCAAACCAAGCTGTGGATGGAACACCCTGGGTGGCCGAGAAGGATGAGTGGGGAGAGTCCTGGGCAGGGCCCCAGGAACTCAGCGAGATTTAAATAACCAGCTAGGGAATTGAAGACACTAAAGGTCACTGATGAAGACGAGCCTGAGAGGCAGGGAGTTAATCAGAGAGTGAGAAGAGAAAGGAGTTTGCAGTGTCAGACTTCACAGAGAAGGCAGGGGAAACGGGCTAAAAAGGGTCCAATATTGTAACTCTAGCACTCAAAGAGCTTTACAGTCTGGCTCCAAATTACCCTTACAGCCTCCACATTTGCCAAACTCCTGTGCCCATATCACTCAAATGAGTGCGTTTCCACTAGCACTTACAAAAAGGCAATAGGCCTGAAAATAACAGAGGCCATCGTACATTATAAGGGTCCAACTCTGTGTGTGTGTGTGTGTGTGTGTGTGTGTGTGTGTGTGTGTGTGTACATTGTAGGTTTTGATATTTTTAAAAAATTGAGAGACCGCTACTGCAACCCGTCGTTCCTTTGTGCATGCCTAGAATGCCTTTAGCCCTCTTTTC